TAGGATGTCCATTTCATGTGAACTGGAAAATAATTGTGTGTTTTCCTACTAATTTGGCACAGGGTTCTATATATGGACCTTAAATCAGTCTTATCTGCATTGCTAAAATCCTCTATATTCTGAATTATTTGTCTGTTTGACCTTGGGTTGCTGCATTGCACATTACAGGAAGACTTCTCACATTAGGCTGGAGTTGTGCAGTATACATTTCCATGGCCTTATGTGGTGATCCCAGAGACTGACTTACATAATTGAGGGAACTGTGTTGAAATCTAACTGTAGTGTGGATTTTACAGTTTCTCCTTACAGTTCTATGAAGTTTTGCTTTATATATTTGGAGGCAATTTTAACAGGTGCATACAAATTTAGACTACTTATGGTGAATTAACCTGTTGTCACTGTAAGTTCAAAATAATGATTTTTGTCTTTAAGTTTACTTTGTCTAATATTAATATAGTTGCATGCTTCTCTTTCTTTAATATTTCCCTGTTACATCTTTTCCAAAAAAAGAAAAAGGAAATATTTCCATGCCCTTATGTTTTAGAAATGCATCTTATAAAGAACGTACATGTTCTTTATGCTCAGTGTCTTTTTTTACCAAGACTGTTTCTCTATTTTAACTTATGAGTTTAATTTATTTACCATCATTGTGATTGCTACCTTAAGCATTATATTTTTTCCTTTTTTTCTGCACTGTTTCTACCTTTTGGGTTTTTGGGTGGAGGGGTATTGTTGGAGTTTTGTTTATTTTCTTTGTGCTTTTTCCTCTAATGGTATATTCTACTTGTATTTTTTTAGAGGTTACTTTAGAAATTTTACTATGCATACTTAGTGAAGTCTAAGATTAATATCTCACAGTCTCCTTGAATCATGCCAGGACCAAAGAATACTTGAGCTCAAAACTATATTTTATACAGATATTTGTTTACAATTACCTGCATTCAGGGCTGGCTGCATAATTTTCAGGGCCTAATACAAACTGAAAATGTGGACCTCTTTGTTTCCCTGCCTTCACAGTACCTCCTTCAACCCAACATGGTATTTTCTTTTCTTTTTTTCTTTAAAGATTCTTATTTATTTACTTGAGAGAGAGAGCATGAGAGGGGAGAAAGTCAGAGGTAGAAGCAGACTCCCTGCTGAGCAGGGAGCCTGATGTGGGGCTCAATCCCAGGACTCCAGGATCATGACCTGAGCTGAAGGCAGTTGCCTAACCAAACGAGCCACCCAGGTGCCCCTGGTATTTTCTTGATTACTATTGAATGTTGTGCTCCCTTGGGCATGGGGAAATCGTGGAGTGGATACAGGCTTTCACAAACACCCAGTAATTCTTCCCCATGATTCAGAGCAGGGGGAGTACACATGCCCAACCCTCACCCTCCCCATGCAGGTACCTACACCTGAGCCCACACCCAAAGCAGATGCTGGGCAGGGGCTAGAGAACCATCCTAGAAAGGCAGGGAGGTGATAGGAGGTAAGACTATATGTGAACCAAGGCTCTAAGCCAAACCCCTGGTACATGCTCAATTTTCCCATCAGACCTCACATAAAACACATATTTAAAGATAAAATTATTAAGAATTTCTTGTTGGTGACCATAGTGCATTAATTCTGAAGCACAGGATCCCCTTCTGAGCATGCGCCTTGTACAACTCTCTTGATCACATGCTCGATTAGTCTTCCCTGCATTTGTGTTTGCCAGTTTCTTTGCTCACATTTCTTATTGCATGCTTGACCTTCCTTCTAAGGAATGTGAAATGCTCTTATGAATCTTCTGCACTTACCCCTCCTATAAAGCATAGTCTTTAGAAGGTTCTTTAGTAAAGGTCTTTTAGCTGGTAGTAAACACTCTGATTTTGCTTATCCGAGCATATTTTATTTCAGTCTCATTTTGAAAGAAAGTTTTGCTGGGTACCCAACTTTAGTTGGTGGTTATTTTCTCATAAAATTTTGAACATAATATTTTGCTTTCTGACTTCCTTTGTGATGGAGAATAAGCTTTCAATGTGTTTGGGTTCCTTTGAAGATACTGGATTTTTTCTCTCCAGCTTCTTTTAAGATCTCTTTAACTTTGATGTTTTTCATATCCACTATCAGATGCCCAGATGGGAGATTTATTTTTATTTATCTTGCTTGGAATCCATTTGGCTTCCTAGATTTGTGAGTTAGTGTTTTTCATCAATCCGGAATAGTCCCTTCAAATATTGTTTCCTCTTTCTTTTCTCTCCTCTCCTTCTGAAATAGTGCATAGATATATATTAGATCTTTTCCCTCTGTCCTCTGTATATCAACTTCACTTTTATATTTTCCATATTTTTCACTTCCTGCACTTCACTCTGTATAATTTCTTTAAATCTCCCTTTCAGTTTATTGCTTCATTTTTTAGCTGTGAATAATTTGCTACAGGACCACCCACTGTTTTTCATTTTGATTATCATGTTTTTAATTTTTGCAAGTTTGATTTGATTCTTTTTCATATTTCATTAGTTATTTAAATAACTTTTATTTCATTGAACATCCTGGCTTTATATTCTGTATCTTAAAACTCAACACTTTAGAAAGTATGAGTTTAATTATGCTTTCATTTGTGTCTCCTTATTCTCTCTCTTACCGGCTTTTTTTTTTTTCTTTTCTAGTTTTGTGATTTTTTAAAAAATCAGGATCTCATAGGTCTTGACTTTTTATCTGTAGAAAACCTTTGAGTCCCAGGATGAAGATAGGTTGCTCCCTAAAATATTGGTGTTTTTTCCTACCAGAAATCTGGAGATAAAGTTAACCTATTACTACTTTAAGATATATTTTCAACATGAAGCTTTTTGAACCACTCAGGCTGTCTGAATTCACGATAAAAACCTGCATTAGGGTTAGTTTGTGTTTACAGATTCCTGTGAGAAATTTATATTCTTCCCTGTATCTAGCACAATTCAAAACCAGTAATTTTCTTTTGTACCTTGAGAGATGTTATTTGAATTTTACACATACTAGGTGTGAATTTCACACATACACTGCACTTGCAGCTCTTTGAGATGCAGCTTCATGCAGGTGAGTTTCCACTTAGACCTTTTCTCTCCTGAGCCCTTCATGAAATTTAAAGCTCAAGTTCATCAATTTTGGAAGGTACCTTCAAGTTGAGAATTGGTTTCAATGCTCTACCTATTGTTGGGGGTTCTTCCTTTTACTTCATTTTTTTAAAGATTTAGTTTGAAATAATTACAGAAAAGTTACAAAGACAGTATAGAGAGTGTATGTTTCTCTTTGGCCCACTTTTAATAACAATGACACATCTGTAAAAACTAAGAAATTAACATTGGTATAATACAATTAACTAAACTATAGAGCTTATTTAAATTTCAGTAGTTTTCCACTCATATCCTTCTGTTCTTTCACTTGGGTTTTGTTCTGTGCATCCTTCCTACTTTTTCTCCAGCTCACTGATGAATTTTAAGATTTTTTTATAAGTTAAAAAAATGTTTACTAATTTTCAGTAGGAAAGTTGTCAAAGTACCTAGTCCAACACACTTCTGGAAAGAGAAGTCTGGGGAGTTTTAATTTTTTTAAATCAGTTTCCCTCAAATGATATTCATAATCCTGCTTACCAAGTCCAACATGTCTTCTTATGCTTGTGTCCTTAAAATTTTCTAGCCTAGAAATGTCAGCATTATTTTTATTATTTTATTTATAATATGTATTATTATTTATAATAATTTATTTATAATTTATATTTATATTTATTAGTTATATTTATTTATAATATATATTATTTATAAAATATTTATTATTTTCTTTTTATTATTTTATTAGAAAAAGTTTAATAATATTTAAAAGAGTGAGAGTAGAAGAGAAATTAAGAGAGAGATTGAGAGTCCATAATAATATTATAGGTGGGAGAAAAAGTCAAGAGCCTTAACAAGGCTGTTGGTAATGGGAAAGGAAGAGAAGGAATAGTTTGGGGTCCACTCAGGAAGCAAAATACAGAATTTGGTATTGAATGGATGTGGTAGAACAAGGAGAAGAAAGAGAGAAAACTCAGGGATTTCAAACCAAAGATTTGACTCTTAAAGATTTTTAGAAGTCAAAAGGAAAAGCAAGATTGCAGATGATAGTAAACTTGTTTTTTAATGGATCTGGTATTAATGGTTCATTAAGGTGGGGATGTCCAACAGGCGGTTACAATTGAAAGTCACAGTTTTGAGAAAGGAGTCAGAGCTACAAGGAACAGGGTGGTGATAGAAAACAAAGAGATTAGAATTAGGAATAAGCAGTGGAGAAGAATCACCTACATCAAAACTAAGGAGGGACGTGGTGATTATGGAAGAGGGAGAGTCCTATTAACAAGTGTGCTTTTGCCACTACTTGTGATATTCAAAAGCTTAATTTCAGTGCCTCTGTGAAATGCTCTTATGAATCTTCTGCACTTACCCCACCCAGAGGATTACAAACTAAACTTCAAGATCCATTTATGTGGATTAAAATATTAAAATGTTCTTTGTGTTTTCTTTTCAGTTTTCCAATATGTTTTGTACTATACGATATCTCAGACATGAATTTCTACTTAATTTGGTTTGTTCCTATCAGTACTTGAGACAAGTAAAAGAAAAATAAATCTAGCAAGAACCACAAATGTGTTGATTTTATGGCATATCCCAACATATTTTCCTTTTCTTTAGGAAACAAAATATTGTCTAGTGTTAGAATTTAGTCATTAAACTTTGGAACCATAATGTGCAATGTTTTATGATATTTGTGACTCTACATATTTGTTACTATTTCATGCAAAAGTAATAACATAACTTATTAAACAAAAATTAAGGCTGGGAAAATACTTACCTTGTATGTAGTGTTTGTAAATTGCTGTTAACGGTAAAGTAGTAACTAGTGGCAGTATATATATTGCTAAAGAGAAGAAACAGATTAAGTTGTGAAATACTATTCTCTGAGCAAGGAACTGCAATTTAGGAAGAGCGTCAGGGTCTTGACTTATTTGTTGGGTTTATGGTTTTCAGGGAACTAATGCTGATTTCACATCAGAAAAGCATTGAACAGCTGCAGGAAACCCTTAGACAGAAGCTGCTGAATGATGATAACTGGAGAGAGAAGGTAATGATAATGTAGCTTTCATCTGCATGTGTCTATTTTGCTTTTTAAAAATTCTGTCTGTTTGGAGCACCTGGGTGGCTCAGTTCATTAAGTGTTTGCCTTCAGCTCAGGTCATGATCTCCGGGTCCTGGGATCAAGCCCCACATCAGGCTCCCTGCTCAGTGGGGAGTCTCCTTCTCCCTCTCCCTCTGCCTGCTGCTCTCCCTTTGCTTACTCTCTCTCTATCAAATAAATAAATGCAATCTTTAAAAAAAAAATTCTGTTGCCAGAGGGCTATCCCAGATATCTTGGCTTCTATGCACATTTTGATTCCTTCTGGAATTTCCTAGACCAAACATGCTAATAGTGTATGTCTTTTCCAAAATATTAGACAACATAATGGGAAATGAAAAGGTAAGAGCAGAATTTAAAATCTTGTAAAATCAAGATAGCCTTTAGTACTCATGTAAAAGTGTGATTTTTATTTTTAAGTATTTACCTTTTTCCTGTAAAGGGACAGAATCTGCATTTGACTACATCCTTAGAAGCAGGGGAATATTAATTTATTCTCACAATTTCTCTGCTTTTAGGAAGATACTAAAGAGAATGGGAAATGACAAAACTATTCAGTTATGAACTTTTGGCAAAGTAAAATGAATAAATATTTAGCTCACTATTTACAAAGAAAATATATTCTCTCCCCATGCTGAAAAATGCATTAATTTCTGTCTTTGGATTTTCCTAAATTTTTCAAAGTTTCAATGATAAATATGTAATACTTGTATAATTTTAAAGGATACAAATAATATTCTAAAAATTATTGGTCCCTAACTTCTCAGGCCTTGTACAGGTCTAGTCATTAAGGCTACAGCCATCATCTCCCTGTCATAAACTTCTGGTACTCCTTGATGATCCCAGGATCTTATCCTGAAGAATGCCCTGAAGCCTTTCCAACTCTTTCTCTTGCCCAGCTGATGCCTGCCCTAGCACTAGTCTTCATCCTTGGTTTTCTGATAACATTGTAAATTTGCATCTAGAGGTAGAGCTGGCTACTGAAATTCAGATTGCTTGACTAAAGCAATCAGATTGCTTGACTAAAGTCCTGACAACCTGTTTGCTTATGATCAGATTCTTCTCTATGATGACTAGACCCCATAACTTGTAACCTCAAGCAACATGAGTGGCCACATCAAGCTAATATCTCTACCTGGACTCTTCCACCCTACCCACCAAATTGAAACACTTTAGATATTGCTGCTGGCTCAGGTCAGTTCTAAATTTTTCACTTTCATTTCCATTCTTTACTCATTTGACCATACTCAGGCATTATTGGTCTTCTATAAATCAATCCCACTTTCCTTGTCCCTCAGGGATAGCACACTCAGGCTAATAGAGAAATGAACACTATAATAACAATTCCATAGAGGCAACAATAAAAAGTTGAGAGTACAGACTAAAATTGCTCTAAATGGCTCATTCTTATTTTATTTTGAAGTATGGATTTTTTCTTTTCCTTCTTCTCTAAAGCCCACATTTCTTTAATTCTTTCTCATTTTTATTAGCTTTGGGGTACTCAATTGACTAGCCTATTCTTATTTACTTCCTCCATCCTTACCAATCCATGTTTGAATATACAAAAAAGATGACTAACCTAACCAGCAATCCAAAAAAGTGCAAATTAAAACAATGAGATTTTTTTTTAAATCCATTCAGTTAACAGAGTAGTTTTGGCATTGTGGTAAGGTCTTGTGAGATAATCTTTCATACTCAGTCTTTAAAGGGCTGGAAGTTACAGCAACACTTTGGAGAGCAATTTGGAAGTATGTATGAAGAGATGTTGTAAATACCTCATTTTTGATGCAAAAATTTCAACGATGGAATTAATGCGAATAGAGATTCACAGATTCTTCCCTTCCTTCAAATACCTGAGCTTCTCTTAGACTGGTATTATCTTATCTTCATGGTCACACCTCATGAAGGACTGTGAAATACAATCTACTAGAGAAGGCTTTGCATTTACAATCTTCCCTATTACTGCTGCTTACTGTACCCTGTCTGTGAGGTGCTAACATAGCAAGTGGACCAAGTTAATGTAGCATTTAATCATATAGAAGAAGCATTATAGTCTTGCTTCATGCTATTAATCTGATGATGAAAATAAACCTGTGTAAAATTTTCTAAGTTCTTGCTAAGACCGTGGTATCATTCTAATAAATTAATTATATCATAGATGTATTTTGGCATGTATAATTTTCTGTGATATAAATGGGCATTTCATTTTGTTGAGAGGATATAACTTCTTGTTAATAAATCTTATCATTTAGCTTAGCAGTAAATCAAGATCCAGACCAGTAAAGCCAAGGAATGATAATTATGTCTTGGCTGTGCTCATTATTGAGACTATGAATAAAAAGTTCCCTTAAAGTCCTCTCATGAGAAAGGAAAATCACTAATATGACATTGTTATCTCTTTCTTGGGTCACTGTGCCTTTATGTAGGAGTGAAATATTCCCTTTACAAATATATAATACACATATTAGAATAAACTTCATAGCTTAAATGCTTTTAACATTCAAAAAAAGTAGATAGCAATTTGTGCCTGTACTTAATTATTTTAGAGTATGTAAAAAGCACATAATAGAATCAATAGTTGCTATGCAACAAGGATGGCACATTTTAAAATAAACTGCATATTTACTAATTGCCATAGATTTATATTTATTTCAAGTATTCCTTTGATGTGGAAAAAAATGAATTAATGTGCATACTGAACATTTAAAATTGGTCCCAAATACACAGTGTTGTTACTTTTTCGTTAAAATTTTTATAATTAAAAAAATTTCCTATAGCCAGACTGATGACATTAAGTGGTAGTCATGTGTTGACTATTATTTTGTAGAGTAATAAACAAATTCTAACCAAATATTTTGTTAGATTATTATTAAGATATCATCCCATTTAGGAACATTTTAGAATTGTACTACTATTCACCTCATTTTAAATAGCACATTTAGCTTTTAAAAACCAATAGTTCAAACAAACAGAACCTTACTTCCTGCCTAAGGAATTGGATTAATAGTGAAAATGGGGGAGGGGGTAGAGTTTACCTCAAAAAGTCAAATCCAGAACCAAAGAGAAGCAAACAGAAAATCTCAAATTCTTCTTCAAAATAGAAGAGCCAAATGGCTGAATAATTCCTAATGTGTTTAAGTGTACTATTAATGGAATTTAAAAGGATAACTTGTAAAATAACAGAATTTGACAGGGATGAACCTGTCATAAAATAATCAATTTTCACTTATGCATAATTGAATGGCTAAAAAGAATAATGAGAGCACCTTTTAATTTATAAAATTATGATGTAATTTTCAAAATTGAACTAATAAAATCACAGAATTATAGATCTAGAATAGCCTGCAGATATCATCTGATTTAAACCCTTAATCAAGATAATAAGAATAGTCTCCATTATTAGAGTGTTTATTATATGCCAGGCTTTGTGCTTAATGCTTTCCATAAATGTAATTTTAACCATTATAAAATTATTATTCCCATTTGCACATGGGAAAAAATAAGGTTCAGAGGAGTTAGGTAAGTTGCCAAGGTTATTTAGCCAGGAAATAACAACTGATACAAACCTAGAAAAAAAAAAATAAGAACTAACTCAAAATCCAAAACTTACTCATTTGGCCTAGATGGACTAATAGGAGCCAAATTTACCCTCCATCTTTACTAACTAAACCACTGGAGAAAAGATCAAAAACAATGGTTTCAAGATACTCAATATCAGACTACAAAGGACAATTATTCTTACAGATAGGAACAAATGAGGCGAGCTCCGTGATTGCCCAAACTTAGTTCCTTGAAATAAATTTAAGGCCACAGTGCAGGAAGTGTGAATCTGGGAGGTCTGTCAGGTTCTTTGAGTTAAGGAAACCAGAGAGATCAAGATAGCTACAATTCACAGGATGGTGTTCTCTGGGGAGAGCTATCTGCACACAAGAATACTGGAGAGCTACAAAGAGTCCCCATTAAGTATAAGTATGGTCAGTGCATATGTGTGGGGAAACTCCCAAAGGCAGAGAAAGACCTATCTGAAAAGGCTAGAGAGGAGTACCAAATGCTCACACAAGGCCAGACTGGAAGACCTATAATTCACAGTGCACTGGGTAAACTTGTCAGAAGGGTCTTGCATCAGTAGTAGGAAAAAATTAGCCCTAGACTAAATGCTGAGCTGATTTTGCCTAATAAATGTTAAAAGGGAAATCTATAAAAATCAAGCTGATTCAAATGCATCCCAGAACAGAGTTCAATAATACTTATAGGAATACAAAAATATCCAGCATCTAACAAGGTAAAATTTACAATGCCTCGCATTCAATAAAACATTGCCATCCAAAAGGAAAGGGAAAACATGGCTCATAATGAGAGAAAAATCAATGAATAAAAACTGATTCAGAAAGGCACAGATACTAGAATTAGCAGATAAGGACATTAAAACAGTTGCAATAACCATATTCCATTTGCCCAAAACCTAGAGGAAAAAGTGACCTTGTTAAGTAGAGATATAAAAGACATTAAAAAGATATAAAGTGAACTCCTAGAGATGAAAAGTACAATATCTAAGATAAAAAGTACACTGGATGGGATTAATGACAGATTCAACATTCCAAAAGAAAAGTCTGGTGAACTTGAAGACACACAATTGAAACAATCCAAATGAAACAAAAATAGAAGACTTAAACAAGAACACCAGTGAGCTATGAGACAAATGCAAGTGGACTAATATATGCATAATTGGAATTCCCAAAGGACAGGAGAGAGAAGAAAGGACAGAAAAAATATTTGAAGAAATAGTAGCAGAATAAAATTAAGAGTTAATGAAAACTATAAAGCACACATTCAAGAAGCTCAGCAAAACCTCAAACACAGCAAGGAATATTCTAATCTAATTGATCAAAAATAGTGATAGAAAGAAAATCTTAAAAGCAACCAAAAAAATAATAGACATTATATAGAGA